CAACTGCATTGATAGCAACAACAGTCAGTACCACCACAGGTGAGTCAGTGTATATCGCATTTAATTAGACTTTATACTGCATGAGTACCAAATCAGTTTTACAATTAATTTTGACAGCAACAAAATCAGATACAGCAACTGAAGCTAATACCTATTCCACTTTTAGTGCAGTGAGCTCAATGTGTAGCAGTTTCATGAACAGCAGTAGGTTATTGATACTGGAGGCAGTAGTATTGATTTATTTACATTAGGCCATGCTACAACAATACTACCACAACCATCAAATGTAGGATCCATCATCAGTGGTTAGTAATCTACTCTTGACGATATGTATATCTAATGTATCTATTATACACACACATTCAGTTGCTATTGCAGTACCTATCACTGGTCTATTAACTGGACTCATTACATCAATAATTACTAGTATCATTGTATACTGTATAATGAAGAATAAAGGGAATAAACAAGGAGGAGCAGCAATATATGATTTACCAATAATTAATAAACAACAACAACAACAAGATATTAATACACACACTAACACTGCTTATGGACATATTATTAACTAACTAATCGAACTTCTCTTCATAGAATATTTAAAAATATTTTTAGAACTTCATTTTCATAATTACAATTAACTACACACAGCAAAATCAGCAAAGTCTTGTTCTAAATGACTTATAGTTAAAGAGTTGAAGTGTCATTTCCCTTCTCTCCTCCAACATTTGGGTTTTTCACACTGTGAACAATGAATTATATAAAAGCTACTATAAATTATTTAGTTATTTTACCTTTAGCATCATAAGTACAACAATCACAGCAAAAGAAAAGTAACCAAAAGCCTTTCTTCCAAATCCTGGGACAGCACCATTGTTTCTTCCAACATATCCTTAGCACAAGCCAACCAATAAACAATATAATTAATAGTCCAAGAACAATAAATGGAATAGAAAATATAGCAGGATCACCAACAGCTTGGATGGTAATAAACTTAATATTTATATAAAAAAAATTTACCAGAAAAACCAGATGCTACTGTTTGTGTTACAGTCACAGACAAAAATACTGTAGTGGGCACTATAGGAACTCGTACATCTATTAAAAGTGATTCATTGATATATTTTTTATTTATTGACTTACTGCCAGTCTTATTTATTGATCCAACAACATTACAAACTGTAACATTGTAAGTATTATTAGCTCCATGTATTATAGGAAATGTGTAATTTTCATTTATTTGGCAGGCTGTGCTATTATCATTTACAGTAATGTTACAATAATTAACTGGTGGTTGACCAATATTTTTATCCTAAAATCAGTAAGACAATATCCAGAATGCTAACTATAACATTAAATTTACCTGAAATGAAACTACTAGACGCATACTGTGAGCAAATTCAATGTTGATCATAGTAGTAGGAGCTAAGGATTAATAAATAAATATCACACAAATTATACTATA